AAGTGCGCTTTGACCGATAGACATGTCGCGCACGCCGCCCAGTAAAATAAAAAGTCAACTTCTTTCCACACACACGTGGTCTACTGCCTGCATCCTTGGCCAAACACGCGAGTGTTGGCACGCCACTTATCCAAACATCGGCTCGCTCCGATTTTGAGGCCGGCGACTGTGCCGGCGGCTGTGCCTCGACTACGTTGGACGTTGTCAACTATGACTGATACCACGCTGAGTGTGACCTGCAAAAAGTACGCCAAATACCCTTGTAAGTGTATTTGGTACGACAATGTTATTAGGCGATTCCGCAGCGATCAAGTATTGGTATGTCAGGAGTGAAGGATAGAGGTTCATCAAATGTAAACTATCGGACAAGGTGCCAATAGCATTGCTGCGTGGTTTGGATCACGTTGCTTACAGGTTGGGTCAGGATGGTCATGTTACCTGCGGATTGCAGACACCTTCCCCCAAGCTAGCACTACGCCCCCCGTGCTCAACCTCACCTAAGCTGCTACTAGGCCACTGCACAGCTGTCACTCGGGCCTCCCCTTAGCTACTACTGGGCCATTGTCTAAACTGCAACTGGGCCTCTCCTTAGCTACTACTGGGCCATTGGATCAGCTGCAACTGGCCCTCCCCTTACCTACTGGGCCATTGTCTAGACTGCAACTGGGCCTCGCCTTCGCTACTACTGGGCCTCCCCTTAGCTGCCACTGGGCCACCCCGCCTTTCGTTCCTTACATCTGCCACACACTTCCGGGCTGTGCACCCCCGCCCTCCAGGTGAGTAAACGAAACCTAGACTATCGGCGGCGTTGGACTGCTCGTCGACACTGATGTAATTCAGGCCTATGCCTCCACCGATTTGGGATGGTCACGGCATCACAGTTCTCCGTCACGTCATGGCAGCGGAGGTCGGTCGAGCAGCGCTTCGCGCCAAAAGGCGCTTAGTGACGTCTGTACTGGAGCCCTACCGACGCTCCCTGCCCGTTTTTTTTGATGTTTTTTGCGCCGTAGTGGGTTGTCAGAGTAGGAGGAAAGGGTCTGTGAAAAGAAGAACCGAAAACCCTTTCCCAACGGCCCAGAAGAACTGAACAAAACAGGGCCGATGCGGGCCGTCGATCTAAGGGGACTTACGGCCCAGATCGAGCCTTTTTTGAATTCAAACTTGGCCCGAACATTCCTGGCGCGGGGCGGGAACAGGACCCCCACGATCGAGCACCCGTTCTCCGCTTGGTCGCCTAAAGGAGGAGGACGGCGTAGACGGCACACGAGGAGGACGACGGCGCCATCGTGAGCAGGTGTGCCCCATCTCCCAGCCTCCGCCCCCCCTTCTTCGTCTTCTTCTTCTTTTTCGACTTCCCTCGGCCCGTTCTTCTTCTTCTTCTTCGACTTCCCTCGGTCCGTTCTTCTTCAACTACTTCTCCTACTTCGCTCATCCCCTTCTTCTTCTTCTTGTGTGTGTGTGTGTGTGTGTGTG